GAGGGCAATATTTCATCAGGCTTCTCCAGACACATCATGCTAATAGTTTAAAGCAGTTGTCCATTTGTTGCATAGGATTCAGGCAGCTTCTTCCAGTAATTGCTTTTGAGTGTGATGAAAGAAGGACAGGGCATTTTTCTAGCTCTTGTACAAAATTAATTTATTTTTGATGAGTAAAATGTGATTGACATTACTGTAGCATGACTGTCATCACCCTTCACCCACCTCTGCAAAACCTGGGTCATTTTTCTGAGTTTGGTTTGCATCAGTTTGCATTGCATCCTTCAACTTCCTCAATAATAAAATAATAAAAAAATCCCCCTGGCCTTTTGTAGACAAGTTCTGTATTACTAAATCCTGGTGAAATAGAATAATGATGGGCTTATTTCAACTCTTGCTTAATAGAAATGATGGTTTATGTACTAAAGGTAGCAGGAAATAACACTACACAAGGCTGGGAATAGATGGGGACATTTGTGCTTCTGATGTTTTATGCGTTAGTCACATGAGCTTTATTTGCGATATTTGTATATCGCCCTTCTCAACCCCGAAGGGGACTCTGCTTTCAAGTTATCACATTCTCAGTGGCCATCATTTGTAGCCAATTGTATCCTAGAATCCCAAGAATGAATCTTCTCAAGAAACCCATAGACCAGTGGTTCCCAACTTGTGCTCCGCAGAGGCCTGAGGGCTCCATGTGCACTTCTGTGGGTTGTCGCGGTTGCTCCAGGAAAATAAAATAAATAAAAATTTAATGAAATTAAAGAGTAAGAGACAAAAAGTAGAATGAAAACAAGAAAACACTTGGTCATTCCGCTGCTAGTAGCTCCTAAATTATTGTAACACACGACCAACAGATGATGAGACTGAGTGGGACATCAGCCTGTTGTGCATATTGACATTGATTCTAAAAAGGGCTATGCAAGTCAAAAAGGGGACCTGTCATAGAAATTAATTCTAAAATGGGCTCTGCAAGTCGAAAAGGTTGAAAACCACTGCCATAGACAATGATTACTGAAGGAAGGGTAAATAACTAAGGGCGAAAGCAACACTGCTGCCCTCTGCTGGCCACAACAATTTCCTAGACTTATCATATGCATCAAGGCTGAGCTACTTGGAAGACAATCTTAAAAGAGAAGCTTAGTGGCATGTACTGGGTACTTTAAAAAAGCAGCCAACAGGGAAAAGTGAAGAGTCAAGTGCAAGCCCTGAGGATGAGAATCAGTCTTCTTTAAGTTTAGCTTTAGCTTCAGGTTTGAATAGATCCATTCTTGAGACCCAGAATGTTCAATTAGATATGGAGTCCTCTGGGTCTATACTTTGTACGAGCTTCAAAGGTACATAGAGAAATAAAAGGAAAATGAATAGAACATTCAATTTGTAAACCCCATTAAAAAGCCTCACTCAATTACGGTGCTCAATTTGACTACTGATGTTGTAAAACCTAAATACTTCTGCTTGTATGAATCTACTTCTCCTGCATCCCGGGCTTCTCTCAAAATAAGCAATTTAATCCAACGTAGATATTTGATATATTACAAGCTGGAATGTGTCCAGAGGAGGGCGACTAAAATGATCAAGGGTCTGGAGAACAAGCCCTATGAGGAGCGGCTTAAGGAGCTGGGCATGTTTAGCCTGAAGAAGAGAAGGCTGAGAGGAGATATGATATCCATGTATAAATATGTGAGAGGAAGTCACAGGGAGGAGGGAGCAAGCTTGTTTTCTGCTTCCTTGGAGACTAGACGCGGAACAATGGCTTCAAACTACAAGAGAGGAGATTCCATCTGAACATTAGGAAGAACTTCCTGACTGTGAGAGCCGTTCAGCAGTGGAACTCTCTGCCCTGGAGTGTGGTGGAGGCTCCTTCTTTGGAAGCTTTTAAGCAGAGGCTGGATGGCCATCTGTCAGGGGTGATTTGAATGTAATATTCCTGCTTCTTGGCAGGGGGTTGGACTGGATGGCCCATGAGGTCTCTTCCAACTCTTTGATTCTATGATTCTATGATAGCATTTTGGTTGCATTAGAAGTCCCATTTACAATACGCATATTATACTAGTAATGTAATTACAACATGGTATCTAGGTGGATAATTTTATCTCAAACCAAGTACTTCTCATATCTTTTTATTTGTTATCCAAACGTTTACCTAACATCATGACTTTTCCCAGCAAAATCTTGACTATTATTTTGCGTTAATTCAAAGATGAAACAAAAGGCAAGCACACACTTTTGTATGCCAATTGTACAAAACTAGATCATCACAATGCCTCCGATGTTGCAATGGGTTAAACCCTTGTGCTGGCAGGACTACTGATTGATAGGTCAGTGGTTCAAATCTGGGGAGAGTGGGTTGAGCTCCCTCTGTCAGCTCCAGCTCCCCATGGGGAGATATGAGAAAAGCCTCCCACAAGAATGGGAAAACATCAAACACCCAGGTGTCTCCCAGGCAATGTTCTTGCAGACAGCTAATTCTCTCACACCAGAAGCGACTTGCAGTTTCTCAAATCACTCCTGACACACACACATCACAATGCAAATACTTGGCAGACAGCAGTTATGGGGAAAGGACTCAGGGGTTATTTGTTGTATTGAAACAAATCTACCTCTGGCATCAAGCATATGCTCAAGAATGAGCAATAGCTGATCTTGTTTGTATAATGCATACATTTGCCAAACATTGAGACTTAAATCCAACCTGAGTACAGCCACTGACCTGACGTGAATGTTAAACTATCAAATTTTTCATAATACATCTATAGGTCTATTCTGGATGAGATTAACAACTGGATTTAGGTCCATCTTATATTTGCATAATTATGGTTTGCACATTGAAAAAATTAGGTGTACACATAAAAATGTAATATGCAAAGAAAATATTATCAACCATGAAAATCAATGGAGGGTGCCTACCTAGAATCATAGAGCTGGAAGAGACAACAAGGGCTGTCCAGTGCAACCTCTTGTCATGCAGGAAACCTGGTTTTTACTATGGTACTTTGCATGTATTTAGATATAAATACATATATCAAAAAATGTAAGACAGTAGCTGGCATCTTCAACAGTTAGGGTATCATAACTGGGCTTAAGACCTCCTGAAGATTCATGTTTGTGGTCCCGAACAACAGAATGTGATTCCTCAAAACCCATCTTTCCAGAAATGCTTCAGGTGATGGGATGCCAGGCTGTGAAGGTAGATTTAAGGGGTCAATCTACCTTATGATGCAGGATTACCTCATGTTTCTACAGGTAAGGACTCTGCTGTGTGTTTAGGACAGTAGTTCTCAACCTGTGAGCCCCCCAGGTATTTTGGCCTACAACTCCCTGAAATCCCAGCTGTTAAGATTTCTGGGAGTTGAAGGCCAAAAATCTGAGGACCCACAGGTTGAGAACCACTGGTTTAGGATATTCCTCCATATTTAGTACAGGGTGAGCATCCCTTTTCTGGAATTCTGAAAATCAAAATACCAAAAAAAAATGTCTATATGGGTGGCTGAGATTGTGACACATTTGCCTTCTGATATATTCAATGGACAAAACCTTTGTTTTATGCACAAAATTGTTGAAACTATTATGATAAAATGCATGGTATATGCTATGGCAGGTGATTATGAATGTTTTTTGTGTTTAGACATGGGTCCCAACTCCAAAATATTTCATTATATACACATGTGTTGATACAGATATTCCAAAATCTTTAAATACCTGAAAACGAAATCACTTCTGGTCCCAAGCATTATGGATAATGGATATTTATCTTTCATATGTATTTTATTGAATGAACCCACACCATAAGATTCCCATGACACAACTCTTACTCTTGGTGGCAGACAGCAGGATCTATGTGTATATCTGTATCCCTCTCTCTCTCTCTCAAGGTGTTTCCAGCAAGAGTCTTAGGCTTAAAGCCAACATCTCGATACTTTAATTAACAAGAACTTTGTATTCTGCAGCAAAACTGATATATCTCAAGATTGTAGGCTTGGCTTTTGCATAACAGTGTAGTGACTAACAGCGCAGTCCTATGTGTTCAGAAACCCCATTGAATTCAAGGATTGCATAGCACTGTAGGCTAATTGATTACACATATTCTTACAAAGAAACTCCGCTGAGTTACACAAGAGTTTGTCCCTGGTAAATTTATGAGACTATAGCCCCCAGTAAAAATATATATATGTGAAGAGCAGAACTGCAACATAGCTATTGCCTGTGCTTAGATTTTATTCAGATGTTTTTATAAGCTTGTGAATACAAGAGTGGGTCAACAAATTATGCTTCCTCTGTCATAAAAACCTTATGAATAAACATATAACAGCAGAAGTGGCTACAGATCATAGCCTGAACTGTCCTGTACACAAAACTACCATTCAACATTGTCACCATCAATTTGTACACATTTGTGCCATTGTTTAACCCAGGCATCAAAACCATTTTGGAACAATTCAGGGTTTTGCTTTGTGACCCATGATTTTAAAGCTGTTTTAACATCATTCAAGTCACTGAATCTGAAACCATGTAGGTTGTCATTTTGGACCTCTGAAAGTCCATGGTTTCAGATTCAATGACTTGAATGATGTTAAAACAGTTTTAAAATCATGGGTCATAAAGCAAAACCCGGAATTTTTCCAAAATGGTTTTGATGCCTGGGTGAAATGATGGCGCAGATGTGTACAAATTGATGGTGGTGATGTTGAATGGCAGTTTTGCGTACAGGACAGTTCAGGCTATGATCTGTAGCCACTTCTGCTGTTATATGTTGATTCATAATGTTTTTATGACACAGGAGGCAAAACTTTTTGATTCATCATTGAACATATCAACGCCAACTCTTATCGGCTAGTTACTACAAGAAGGGCCAAATTTAAAATGCAAATTCCCCCAGACATGAGCAGACTCTTGCATAGTAAATTATATGCCCATGGGAAAAAATGGGCTCAATTCCTTACTCAAACACCATTCTGAAGACTTCAATTTATCAAATCAAGAACTCAAGAGCACTGGACTTCAGTTGTGGAACTTCTTATGGTAGAAGCATGTGATTTTTCACAGAAGGAATCAAGTAATCAGACTGAGAACGTAGGGTGTTTGACCATTTTATCCTTTTTAGAGGTAGCTGTCTTTTTTTGTGTATAATATGTTGCTTTCCCTCTCTGCAACAAATGTAATGGCAAGCCATTTAAACTAGCCCATATTTTATTTTTGCACCCCCACTTCTCCTTTGTAGCTTGGAGGTAGCTTTATAAAAAATAAGCACACTTGGCTAAGTTGCAGCAATGTTCACCATTGTGAGAAATCCCTGCACGAAATAAAAAATAAATAAAAAATAAATAAATGCTTATTCAGTATCCCTCTACTGTGCAGGGAGCAGTTTGGAGAGAAAGATATAGATGCTGCCTTAGGAATGCTAATCCTTAGCCTATCAGCAGCACATATTTCAGTAATTTGCAGTAAGGACTGATTGTTGAGGCAAGGCAATAGTTCCAAGGAAAGGAGGCACAACTGTCAATCGGATCAGTTATGATGAAGTGTTCTTAGCTCCTGGTAATGGGAAGTTCAACTGCTTCGTTGTAACCATGGGGCAGAAGTATGTATGCATGCCAAAATGCTGCAGTGGATCAGGTAGGTTCCAACATTTCTATACAATCTTCCCATGCAGTGCAAGGGAACAAGGAGGGCAAAATCATGTACTTCAAGGCAGACCTAGATGTGCGGGGTTTCCATTGGTCTTGAGGGCTGCTAAGGATACTCCCTGAGAGATGATCGCTTTGACATCCTTGCTGTTAACAGGCATCTGGTCCAGGCCTTTGACTCCTGTTGTCCCAAAGAGATGCAGCAAGATAGAAAGGGGTGAGAACAGGGCTGAGGTTGCAGTCCTACAGTTTTCTAAACCACTCCAGAAGACTCCCGGAGTGCAAATGTTCCAGCAGCAAGAAACTGAAGACTTCAAGTTGATTTGTGCAATAGGTTGCTCTGTTTGTTTTGCAATCCAGTGTCATGAGCCTGTGCCTTGAGACTTGAGGTTCAGGTGTAGTTTCCTGGTCCACCCAGAGGAATAACAAAAACAGAGATATCATCTCCAGACCCCAGCTTGTCATTGGCCAGCCTCCAGCCACGGTCCTTCAGGATGCCTCGGGATTTCATCACCAATTCCTGGGCTACCATAGTGTACCTGTAGTAATAGAAAGCCATTCACTATAAAATAAGCCGCAAAAGTATTGTTCACTATTATCTCAACATGCATTTCAGTGTGTAGCACATTTATAATCATCATTTCATGACCAGTCTAATTGAAGGGGAAGTGGTGAAGAGGTAAGAAAAGTGCAGAGGTTGAAAAATTTACCATTGGAGGTACAGCTCCCATAATTCCCCAATCAATCTAATCACTGGGAAGAGGTAAGCATGAAACTTCTCTCATTCTATATTTTTGGTATAACCTGTGATGAAATAAGGCCTATAACAGGCATAGTCAAACTGTGGTCCTCCAGCTGTTTGGGCCTCCAACTTCCAGAAGCCCTAACAAGCTTGTTCAATTGTCAGGAATTCTGGGAGCCGAAGGTCCAAACAGCTGGAGGGCTGCAGTTTGAGGATATCTGGCCTATAACCCACAATCATAAAGACATGTCACTGGAAATCCCCAGAAAAAGGAGTGACACAGCCTTGTGCTATAGAACTGGAGGTGTATTGACACTGTAGAATTAATGCAGTTTGACACCACTTAAACTGCCATGGTTCAATGCTATGAAATAACAGGTAATGTAGTTTGGTGAAGCACCAGCACTCTTTGACAGAGAAGGCTAAAAACTTTATAAAACTACAACTTCCATTATTCAGCTGATAAAGCACAGAATAACATTATTAAATAAAATGTAATAATAATAATAATAATAATAATAATCATAATCATAATCATAATCATAATAATAGAGCCTGCTCATCTTAGGAAGGAAGACTCTGCTCAACAGTACCTTCTCTAAGATCATTCCTAACTGCCATACTGGGAACATTGCTTAGCTTACCTGCAAGGATCATTGGGCTCATAGCGCATAAGGACATCAAATACAACCTTGGCCACCTCTTGATTGTTCGTGACATCCCAGAGACCATCTGTGCCCAACACCAGCACATCATCAGGGCAGTGCTCATACTGTGTGAGGTCATATATGTGGACCTGCAGAAAAATGCAGAAAGGTGACCTGGTTGCAAGTAGAGGTAGTCACAGCAAGGAATCCTTCATCCATAGAAAAATATCACTTTCTATAGGCTTAGTTTTTGACATGCTTGCACCCTGAATCTATGGCAGCACAGTCTTATGGGTGCTCTTGTAAGAGCACAAACACAAGTTATTTAGAATTCTACACACTTCTTGTTGGGGATCAAGGGTTCCTACAGTTAAGGTGTAGGAACCCATTCTGTTCTCTTTACTTAGAGTGTAGGACCATAGTTGCCACCAGAGTAAAGACAACAGAATTTGGAAGTACACTTTGAGTATGTTTTATCTGAAATGCTTGGGACCAGAAGTGTTCTGTATTTTGATTTTTTAAATTTTTTGAATATTTGCACATACGTAATTAGGTAGATCTCTCTCTTTTTTTGGCCAAAAATGGGAGGTGGGTGTAATTACTACATGGCAAAAAAAAAAATTCCAGCTATGGGGCTTCATTTAGCTGTCAGCTGAACGAAGCCTCATAGCCCCGTGGGTAAAGCCATGCACATCCACCCCCTTTCCAGCTAAGGGGCTTTACTCAGTTGCCAGCTGAGTGAAACCCTGTAGCGTCAAGGAGGTAGTTACATGGGTGAGTAAATGAAGGATACGACTATCATATGCAGAACACAAAAAATACCATTTTGCTACCCCAAAAATGTGGGTATGACTATTATGCAGTGGTGACTATTATGTGAGGAAATACAATATATTTCATATACACCTTATATACATAACTTGAAATTAATTTACTTACATTTTTTTTACTAATTTTACACATGAGACCAAGTTTGTATATACTAAATTATCAGAAAGCAAAAGAGTCACTATCTCAGCTACCCAGGGAGAAGATTTTGGAGAATTTTGGATTTTGGCTAAGGATATTCCACCTGTAACTACTTATCTGTAATTAACTTACGAAGAGTGTCTTTCCAATAACTCTGGTATCATGGTATTATATTGCAATTGTACCTTAACAAGTAATAACTTCACCACTTTTGTTATATATAATGTAATGGTTTCAGTTATTCTTATAGGGAAGGAGATGCACTCTCAGCAAATAGTGGAAGAAGTTCATGTGGCTTTATTGATGATTTGTGCTGCGCCTCATACACAGCACAAATTGACATTTGCTGTTGAAATAGATAGAATTGAGCTCAGGGTTGCCACTGCCCTGTTCTATGCCCACTACTAACCAAGCTCTGCATGACTGTTTTTCCTGATTCTGCTGTTCCTTAACTTCTCTGCTCCCTGGAACAAAAGGAAGATATCCCTGTATCTGTCCATAGTTTTCAGCACGTAGTCAGTCTCCTGCACAAGGTGTGGAGGCAAGAGTTTGAAGCTGCCTAATAAACTAAGCCTATATTTATGGGCCTTTCTGCCTGTCCTTCACCATTTTCACAGTATAAAGCAGGGTAAAAAGACAAACTTCAAAAAAAAAAACTAAAGAAAAAAAACAAACAGTTGAGCCACCTAAGAATCAAGCAAATTGTATATTCAGAATGACAAAAGGATTATGGCAGGATATGATACATTGTTACTTATGTATCACCTGAACTCCAAAGAGTAATTTGGGATGGACAAAGGCAGTAGTTCTCAAACTCCAGACCTTTAGGTTTTGGGACATCAGCTCCCAGAATCCCTTCATCTTGGCATATGAACTGAAATGTTTAAGAGTTAAAGTTCAAAACATCTGGAGGATCAGTTTGCAAATCACTGGGATAAGGGACTGGATGGCCCATGAGGTCTCTTCCAACTCTATGATTCTATGATTCATATTGTAAAGCATTACACCTCAACTTCATGACTCCCAGAGCTTGGAAATTCTGTTTTTGGACTACTTTCCTCATAATCACGACCTAACATGGCCAAGCTTCCCCAAGATCTGCCCCAGATGTTTCTGAATATAATTATCATTATGCTCAGCCAACAGAGCTTTTTCCAAACATCAATATTTCAAGTTTTAATGTCTTGATTGCCAAGACATTCCATGTCTGGTGACAGACGGTGCAAGAGAGTGAAAGTTACAAACACAATAGATAGATAGATAGATAGATAGATAGATAGATAGAGAGAAGCAATTTCCCCTTGACATTAAGTCTAGTTGTGTCCGACTTTGGGGAGTGGTGCCCATCTCCATTTCAAAGCCAAAGAGCTGGCATTGTCCGCAGATGCCTCCAATGTCATGTGGCCAGCATGACTGCATGGAGTGCCATTACTTTTCTGCTGGAGTGGTACTTATTGATCTACTCACATTTGCATGTTTTCAAACTGCTAGGTTGGCAGAAGCTAGGGCTAACAGAAGGAGCTCACCTCACTCCCTGGATTTGAACCACCAACCTTTTGATGAGTAAGTTTAGCAGCTCAAACTTGCCACACATATATATATATATATATATATATATATATATATATATATATGGATTCCTCACTTTGAAGCTCAAATTTTATACCATTTCAATGTTCAGTTTCTGGAATTCAAAGACATATATCATACTTATGGAGAGGTATGGGGCCATTCCCTAATCCAGCTCAAAATTAGCAGAGTGTTTAACTATTTATTTATTTACTTTATTTATATACCGCTTTTCTCAGCCCTCAGGCGACTCAAAGCAGTGATGGTGTCAAGACCTGGAATTTATAGGAATGTATAGGAATCCATTCTGATGTACTCACGTCTGGGATGCAGGACAGGAAAGGTTTGATGTGAATGTTGGAGCTGTATACTTTGAGATCATGATCCCCTAAGCCTCGAGTCACTCCAATAGTTGCCATCATTCGAGCCTAAAAGAAAAATGGTCAAAAAGGATCACTTGAAATGGAATGATCAAATTGTATATGGACTCAAAGAGAGTAACATCATCTTAAATAACAAGAAGGCTGATATGTCGAACCTTCAGAGAAAATCTTCTCAAAAGAAATACATGTTCTCCTGATTTACTTGGATGTCTTTCAATATGTATTTCCCCCCACTTTTTTGTCAACATTACACACAAAATCTGAGCAGAGTTTTGATGCAAAGGTTCTTGGAATTTTCTCATGTATAAAATTGCCATGAGTCATAGCTAACATAATTCCAAATAAAAATTACATTTCTGGCATATTTTACAATATGTTAGAATGTGTGGAAGAGGAATGATGAAGAAATCGGAAAAGATAGCTCAATGTAAGGGGGTTCAGCCTTGATGCCAAAATATAGGCACTGTCATCAGTTTATACTAAAATATTAGCCCAGTAAATCTTTGGCTGCACTAAGAAGTGTAAAACTGAAATTGTTACCATAAAAACAATGCAACCAAAACTTGATACTTTGTCTTGAAAGAATAGACTTTTCAATCATTTCTGGTTCCATATGGAAGAGCCTTTCTGTGGGTACAGAGAATGCCGCAAATCAACAGGAGATGGGGCCAAATCCCAAAGAGATCAAGGCTACTCCCATTGTTTCTTTCTTTTTCTTTTTTGTGAGCTCATCTCATCACTGCATTTTTTTTTCTTTACTGCAAGAATAGCAAATGTATGCCTTTGCATCTGTTGTTGGACTCTAGCTCCCGTCAGCCACTATTGCAGTTGTGCTGCTTCAGGATGATTGCAGTTGGATCCAAGATAGCAAGATTTCCCGTACCTTGGGAAGTCTGACTTGGCCACGGTAGTCCACGCTCTGGTTACATCCCGTTTAGACTACTGCAACACTCTCTACGTGGGGTTGCCTTTGAAGAAGGCTCGGAAGCTCCAACTAGTCCAACGCTCGGCAGCCATGATACTAACAGGAGCGGAGCGCAGGGAGCATACAACTCCTCTGCTGCACCAGCTCCACTGGCTGCCGATTTGCTACCGGGCTCAATTCAAAGTGCTGGCATTGGCCTATAAAGCCCTAAACGGTTCTGGCCCAAGCTACCTATCCGAACGTATCTCTGCCTATGAACCCACCAGGACTCTAAGATCTTCTGGGGAGGCCCTGCTCTCGATCCCGCCTGCATCACAAGCACGGCTGGCGGGGACGAGGGATAGGGCCTTCTCTGTGGTGGCCCCTCGACTGTGGAACGCCCTTCCCATGGACATTAGATCAGCTCCTACGTTAATGGTGTTTCGAAGAAAACTAAAAACCTGGCTGTTTGAACAGGCATTCGGATAAACAGTGCAATGAATACGATGAATATAGGAACGGAATTATAGACGACGAATTGGATCACGATTCTAGTTACGAGACGTTAATGTGTTGTTATTGATGTGCCATTACTTTGTATATTATGCTCTTAATGGTTTTTAAATTGTTTATTGTTATATTGTTATGACTGTCTTTTTGCTCTTGTTGTGAACCGCGTTGAGTCGCCTACGGGCTGAGAAACTGCGGTATACAAGCAAGTAAGTAAGTAAATAAATAAATAAATATAGCAGTGGTTCTCAACCTGTCCCCAGGTGTTTTGGCCTACAACTCCCAGAAATCCCAGCCAGTTTACCAGCTGTTAGGATTTCTGGGAGTTGAAGGCCAAAACATCTGGGGACCCACAGGTTGAGAACCACTGCTATAAAGCCATATATCTTCCATCCCTATTTCATTTGGATATCTATTCTAAGTTCACTTTTCCTCTGTTTTCTGAAAATGTTCTCAATTTCTCAAATACTTTGAGGTATCCACAGCAATTCACCTTTTTACCCTCTCCATATATGAGTGGAAACTTCAGGTCATCTTCTTCTATCTTTTTATATGCCCTGGTCAGAAAATGAAACACACAACAAGCATATGTAAATAACTATTTTCAACATCATATTTCCAAGATTTGTAGGAAAACTACCAGCTGCTTTGAAAAAGCACAATAGAGTGCTTATCCACACCAGGCAGCAACTAATCCATACTTCATTTCATTGAATTGAAGGATGAACACACTTTGGAAGACTTGTGTACTTTTTAAAAAGTAAGAAACATGACATTGACATGCTGGAAATACATGCAGAATTCAAAATTTTGAGCTGAGAATGTTGTTTTGAGGAGCAAAACAGCAAAATCCATAAAACTCCCAAACAAAAATTCAGGGTTAGTTATCTCACACTTTATAATTTGAGAAGTATGATAGATTTTTCTTAGGGTTGTTGTAAGTTGTAAACAACACGGAAGCACACAGGAACATCAATCATTAAGTAGGAAGGGAGTCACTCTGTTATAGAACAGTTGTTAATCATTTAGACCTATGCCAGTAGATACAGATCTTCCTCCCATCCCTTGCCCAAATTTAGGAAATTTCTCTTTACACACATATGCACATGTGTGTACGTTCAGACTTCTTTTCTCCCAGAGTTATTTTTGAGCAAACAGAATTTTGGAAATACCACAAAAACATATTTAGCAAAGCTAATAACTGGATCACTATATGCACTCTAGATAATAATGCTTCTCTCATACTCCTGCCAACTCTCTTAGAAAATGTCATCTGTCTCCAACCTTAATGTGGGGAGAAGAATGGTCTTTCATACACCCACAGAGCAGATTAAGATGATGTAACAGGCTGGCATGAGAACATCTGTTGGCTCCTTCAGCTTGCATTACTGACTAAATAATCTGTGTATTTAAGGTAAAATAACAAGAATTACCAGCCATTCATGTTTTGGTCCCTGTACAACATCTTCTTTCCCAGTTCCTTCTGCTGGATCCTTCGAGGGAACTCAAGGTGAGTAAACTCATTTCCCAGTAACTCAGGTCTCAAAAAGCCCTGTGAGAAGAAGAGAGGATGCTTAAGCACAAGGATCATGTGGAGCTTCTTCACTAGAGTAACAGAAAACCAAGACCATTATAAGAGAAGCACTGGACAGAAGAATCGCCAAAACCATTGAGCAAAAGCTAAATATTAAAGGGAGAAAGGGAGTATGGAATTACGTATTTGGACGAATGCTAATACTCTTTAAGTTACCTTTTGTACATTAACTACTACAGAGGTGAGCAAAGTGTGAACTGCATGAGACTCTTAGACCTTTTCTTATGATCTCCAGGGGATTGAAAATGCATTTTGCTCTTTAGGGGTTTTGGAGGTTATTTCCACCATGTTTTGGGGTCACTGGGGCAATTTATGTAATTGTGAAACCTTTTCTTGCAGCAGAAAATGATTTCAGCTCACTTCTTGTTAAAAAAACAGGTTTAACCTGGTCCTCCCACTCTCAATTCCAGGGGTTTCTTTTATTGGCAGGGGTAAATTCCCACATCTATATTGTCTAGGTTTGCCCTGTACATCTGGGCACTTAAGCACTGACAATGGGTTGAATGGGGGCATGACTTTGTTCATGGATGTTTCTTTTTTTTTACTTGAGAGAACACCTTCCAATACGTTAACCATAGAATTGTTCTGGAGGACCTAGGGATTCCTAGAGATAGTAAATTAATCAAAACCATGAATAATCAAATCCACAAATTTTGAACCCACAAATGTGGAAGGCTGATTGCATTTCAAACATGCGGTTAATATTTGTGTATTCTTTCTACTTGCTAAATTAACAGAGCTCTCATGTCTTTTTTGGCTTCATTCTCCAAACAGGGTTTGCTTTTCAGAGCTGACAATCTGTTACCCTTGACATGTCAGTGTCCTAAAGAGAGATGATTACTCACTAGGCAAATTCTCAGCAAAGGAGCCTGGAAGATAAGCCTAGAAGGAAATGCCTACCTTTAACAAGCTGATAACCTTTGGAAGAATGAAGACCCGAGCCAGGAGAAAAAAAGGAGGGCTCTAAAACATGCTTTGAAAGGATGAAACATTTTATATTCTTACTCCCTTTAACCATCTTAATGGGCATAAACCTTGTGAAGGGGATGGTGAATCCACATTAAATAATTTTAAGTGCACATCCTAATTAGAGTAGGAACTTAGGAGAAACACACACAAGAGGGGCAGACTAAATCCCATGCTTTATTTTATGGCACATAAACACTGAAAGAGAAGGTACATAAACACATATGTACATATACATTTACAGGCAATCCCCAAGTTATGAACAAGAATTTGTAGGTAAATCAGAATAGATTTTTTTTCAGTGTAACTTCAGCCATATATATACACACACATATATATTGGTAGGTGTGTGTGTGTGCTGTTTCATTATCTGGGTGGAGGCTAAAAGAAAGTGCTAGACAGAATATGGTCCATTTTACTGTATTGTTTGGGGAGGGGGGGTTGAAGGAGTAAAATATTTCCCAATTTTTCTGTTATTCCTCCCACCCATGTCACCATTGTGGAAACAACCCTTGTGTATGACATGGGAAGTGGGGGTGGGGGGAGTAATCAGTGAAAACATTTCCTTCTTCAACTTGCCCCCTGTAAAATGGACTATCCTTCTCTGGCTAGTGCCCCCTTTTGGCTTCCACCTGGACAATGGAAAAGTACTGTGTGTGTGTGTACACTCACTCACTCACTCTCATGCTTTGGATAGCAAAGGGAATGGCTAATGCCCCTGTGGTGTTTGCTATCTGTGCCTCTGTTCAGAAGATTTCGCCTCACTTTCAGTCCCTTTGGATTTTGCAGTTTAGCTTGTTGTGGAAACCAGGATTGGCGAGAAAGTTTCAACAGAAACACCTTTCCATCAAAATAACTCTTTCAGGAATTAATTTCCATTTCATCTCACTTCCTGTTGTCTCAGCCCTGAGTTGTTTGTAAGGCAAATGTTTATAACTTGGGAATTGCCTGTACATGCAGATTATATGTGTTTAAGAGCAGTATTTCAAACTGCACATAGCAAACGATCATCACTCTAGTGCTTCCTATAGCAAAAGGCTTAAGTAATAAAAGGGCTTTGGCTCAAAGCAAACTGCTCAAGCCTTTGGGGGGAAGTGTATGATTGGTTTTCTCAGTGTTCAGTTTCATTATCATAGCCAGCTGAAGAGAATCTGTTACTCAATGTAATTTCCTCCCTTCTCAAAGCAAGGAGGAGACTGTTTGGATATAGAACAACAGATAAGTTTTCATCTGGTGTTTTGCCAATGAATTACATTTTGAGCATGGGCCAGCAACACACATCTCATCTTGCTTCTACTCCGGAATTTCTCTCTCTCTCTTTCTCTCTCCCCCCCACCTCTCTCTGTGCTTCAGTGTTTCTTTCTCTGGTCCCTGAGAGCAAGAACTCATGTTATACTCAAAAAGTATGGCCCTTTGGCTGCATCCAGCCCCCAGACCACTGTTTCCTAAGTGAACAACAAACAAATAAGACAGTCTCTCTTAGGAACTCCAAGTGAATCGATTCATCTTTAAATGGGTTGTAGGCTCACGTGCCTGTTTAACATTACAATACATTTTTTTTCAAACTAGAAAATAATATTTTGTTTTAAGCATTCCGCATAATCTGGCCCATAGGCCTGATAAAGCAGCCCACTCTGTTGTATGGAAAAGCTGTTTTTGAATAAGCAGTTGTAAGCATATATATCTGAAGGGGTGTCTATCTTGTTAATGCACACTTGGAATTTGTTGTTACATGGCTTTAAATCAAATTGGACTTGTGATGATTTTATCTTAAGAGTTTTCTTGGCAAGATTTATTCAGAAAATATTTGCACTGCTTTCTCCTCAGGTTGAGAGTGTGTGTGGTGCTTATGATCACCAATGGCTGAGAAGGGATTCAGACCCTGGTTTCCCAGGGGTCCTTGTCCAATACATAAACACTACGCTATGTTGGCTCTCAATAGTCGCAAGAGCAAATAAGTGACTGGAAGAAAAGTTTACTGATATTCTCTTCTGTCACCTCTTTGCTTCAATTATTGTCGATCCTTAAGCAGCTGTTCCCTTCAAGATGTGATTGTCAGAGAATTAAAATATTCCTGTCTGATTTAATGTGCAGTCTCATTCTTACAACCTTTAAATTGTGGAAGTGAAATCAGGTTTACAGGATCAGCTATAAAGAAATGAATAGTTGACAAACTAGGCACTGTGTCTGTGAGATTTCCTCTATTCATCCTATCATTCTCTCTTACTACGTCTCCTGCAATGCCAGTGTGTGACTAAAGCAAGCCTATCATGGGTTTTTCTTGGAAAGGTTTGTTCAGAGGGGATTTACCATTACATTCTTCTAAGACTAAAGGAATGTCACTTGTCCAAAGTCATGCTATGGATTTCCGGAGCTGAGTGGGGATTTGAACACTAGAGTCCTAGTTCCTATTTTGAAAGCAGCTCACCAGGTTGCTTGCATGAATGTGCTTTCAAGAAAGAGAAGCCCAATGCCTCAAGGCATGTCAAACTAGTTTGTGCATCTCACTAGTTCTTCTTTTAAATTTCCTTCTAAATTGTCTTAGTCAGCTGTGCCCGCCAGCAGTTGTCCTCTCCAAGCAATTATCAGGAGCATTTGAAAATACAGAAACTGATTTTTGACTGGTTGGCACAGTGGTGGTGGAAGTGGACTAAAAATACAACAGATAGGAAGAAGGTTCTTTCTTACTAAAAACTGTAGCCTTTGCCTCTCTGTCTCTGGAGTAAACTCTCGGGACATTGGAATGATTTCCCCATTACGGATGACAATGGCCCTGCAATGAAAGATGGAATGATGGCATTAGAGAGAGAGAAAGAGTGTACAAGAAAAGAGACGGCATAGGAAGGTCAAGCAGCCAATATAGGAGAGGGCAAAGCAATGCAGTATTAGCTGAGGACCAATTTGCATATGACCATGTTTTACCCTAAAATGTAATCTCTGTGAAGCACAAGAAAATGTGTATAGGAAGCATGGTGCAAATACATGGACTGGGCAAGTGATTCCTGCAGGAGAAAGTTGAATCTTGAAACTTACATCTATCAAAATTTGTGTGAGGTGTAGATGTTGTTATCCTGATGAAGCATGTTTAAACTTATAGACATTTCATAATAAAAAAAACCTATGTCTGTGTCTATTAGTATGTTGTTCTGAAACTTTTATATTCTACTGCAGCTCAACTACGCTTTCAAGAGACATGAGCTGACTTCCTATTATTGGCTCCAGAAGAAGAACAGTCGAAGAGTGAGAAACATCCTAGTTCAGACCGGTAACTGAAATAAGGAGAGTGGGATGGAAATCATGCCAGAAAACAGAGCAGAAAAATGGAGGAAGACCACAAGAAGAGAAGGACGGCTAATTTCATGGGACCCCACTTCCAAACATTAAGAGACTAAGCATTTTTAAGATGGAAGATTGCAAAATCCATACCCAGATAATTTACTTTTTATATATTGGGAAAAAGAGAGAAAGGTAAAAGAGTAACAGCTTTTAAACATAACATGATTCTTTTGACCAAGAAAAGATATATAGTACTTTTGAATGCTACTTTTTGCTTGGCTACCAAATTAAGAGAGTTCTGGTTTAATTTATTGCTTCCATAAGTGCTAACATATATTTCAATAATTATTCTGTTTTCATGAGTGTTCCCGATGTTTTTCACCTATGCATTTTACATTCCTCCTATTATTTTGCACTTAAGACTTTTTAATGTGCCTAGAGAAGGATCATGATCACTATTTCCCATGTAGAACAATTATCATCATCATTATCCATATCCTTCATTTCCCCTCAAAACTGGGACTGCAGGTGGCTTACAAATTAAAGTGATTACAACATAATTAAAACATACAAAAATTCAACATTAAAGAACTATAAACAGTATTAAAACAATTGAAAGCATAATTTAAAACAATATGGGACATTCTTAGAAGCTACCATACTTCCTTAAAACTTTTATGACTTTTAAAGACTAAACCTATCAAGAAGACTGGCAAATTCCATGCAGAATGGAAATAAGACAAAACTCAATGGGGAGACAAAGTCCATGCCTGATTACCTCTAATAGCTTGCTGAGTTCTTGCTTGCTGCTCTGTCTAACTCATCCACATAAGCAAATCATGAGTAGTTAACCAGCCCCAAGCCACAATTAGAAACAATTTTTATAGTTGGTTTATGAACTCAGCTCTTTCGAAATTATGGATAGTTGTTTTTGTCTCAACCTAGAATAATGATTTGCGCTGCACAATTCCCTAGGAGTAAATAAAACTAACTGGAGAAGTTAAAAAAAACTCAAAATTTTGGCAGGGAGAGACTTTAGCTTGTTTGCCTAGAGCAGTGGTTCTCAACCTTTGGTCCTCCAGGTGTTTTGGACTTCAACTCCCAAAAATCCCAGCCAGTTTACCAGTTGTTAGAAATTGTGGGAAGTGAAGTCCAAAACACGTGGAAGACAAAAGGTTGGGAACCACTGGCCTAGAGATGGTTTGGCCTTCAACTCCCAGAAATCCTAACAATTGGTAAACTGGCTAGGATTTCTGAGAGTTGTAGACCAAAACACCTGGGGACACACAGGTTGAGAACCACTGGCCTAGAGGATCATCTATGGCTAAAAGAAGAAACCATGGCTAAAATAAGCTATAGCTTCATGTGACATGTGAACGTGGTCAAATTTTATGCTTATCAACATTACTGAAACTGATTTAACAACTATCCAATTAAAAAGCAATCCATATATTTGAAGGGACAGTAAAGCCACACTTCTAGTCTACTACCCAATTCATCATAGCTTCTCAAAACATGGGACAAAATAGAGGGTTGGTGTTTCTTTTAGGTTCTCCTGGGATGGAATAATGTGTTGTTTTTCACCACTTTACTAAAAAATTATTCCTTTTTTATAATCTAAGAATTTGGGAACTGTGTGTTGTTTTTTTCCTTCAGATGTCTAACTCAACATTTCTGAAGTGTGAACAGATAAAAATGATTTGTTATAAAATGCTATAAAATCACCATATTTCACAGAATGTAAGGTACCATCAAATGTGAAGCTTTGATTTAAGGAAAAAAGAATGTTATCAAAATATATTTTAGATTTTTCTCTACATACACAATATATTTTTGTATGTTTCAGTGTGGGGTTAGGAGAGTGTATGAAGCAATCTGCAAGTCATCTGTTTGCATGACTCTATACAGTTTTAAGTCTATAGGCCCACTGGGGAGACAATGGAAGAAGGAAGTACATTTGGCAAAAATCATAAATATCTAAACAGCTGTCTGCCTGAAGCTGTGAACAAAATAGTAGGAGCATGGCAGAGCTCTTGGGGATGGGGCTCTTCCTCCTCCTCCATTCTCTTGGTGGCAGGATTTGGACAGGAAAAAAAACAGTGAATGTAAGATGCCATCGAATATAAGGTGTATCACATTTTTGACGCCTCTTAAATGGGAAAGATGTGTTACCATTGTAATGCCTACAAAAGCTAAGCTGAAATCCTGCATCTGTTTTTTTTTAGAACTGAGCCTTCACCCATCACTTCCCAGCATTGGTAGTTTGCCTTAGCTACAGTGCAGACATCACCAAGGTATGCACAGAATGTAACTGGAAGCTGCCCTCTGCCAAACCTTACAAATTCTCAACAGTTTGGATATTCATAGAGCAATTTCTCTTGTTTCTGCAGTTTTTTCTTCCTAACCATATTGAAAGAAAGATTTCTCTTGAGTGTCTTCAAAATTTTATTATGGCCACTTCTCTGTAAGGTTTCCTTTCATGAACCAATTGTCAGCTACGATTGGGAAAGGCTTTGGTTCATTTCTGCTATGCAAGAAAAAAAATGCTAATCTTTCTAGGGCTTGGATGGTTATGATTTCACAAGCAAGACAGACGGCCCACTGCCCACCCATTCCTACCTACTATCACCTGCATTCGCCACATAGAACTTCCCCAGGAGATAGACAACAGCTAGGGCACAACAGCCACCTGATGTTTGCCGGGTCACCCGTTCCTGCTCGATCTGATTATCCTGAGGAGAGAGGAAGAAAAAAAAAGAGTCACAGATGGAATATGTTAGTGAAAATGAAAATAAATGAAAATAAAGAGACAGAAAACCTGAGCTTTCCCAATCCTATTGATTACATTGACTGCATGAAGATGGGGAAGGAAGCATGTCCAGAGAAATAGAAACCATGGAGTCTGGAACTGAATCCTCACTTAGCCACTAAGATCATCTAGTAATCTTATTCTTACTATTTCCCAAACTAATCTACACTCACAATTGTTGGGGGCATGGAAATGGGAAGGGCTACTTTAAGATTCCAAAATGAAAGAGGTAAATGGAAAAAAACAATTCAGAATAAAATATTGCTTCCGTTTGTTTGTTTTTTTGTCATGTCAGGAGTGACTTGAGAAACTGCAAGTCGCTTCTGGTGTGAGAGAATTGGCCGTCTGCAAGGATGTTGCCCAGGGGACACCTGGATGATTTGATGTTTTATCATCCTTGTGGGAGGCTTCTCTCATGTCCCCACATGAGGAGCTGGAGCTGATAGAGGGAGCTCATCCGCCTCTCCCCGGATTCGAGCCTGCAACCTGTCAGTCTTCAGTCCTGCCGGCACAGGGGTTTAACCCACTGTGCCACCGAGGGCTTCAGTTGAAAGATCTCTTTAATTTTCACCATAAAAAGGAAAAGAAATTAAAACACATGGAAAAGAATGAGAATATGATAAATATTTTCATTTTTGTATACATCAATTTTAAAATTATGATTACAATTTAAACAGAAACACAATGCATTTCAAAATAATAGCATAGATTATTGCTAGGTGACCTCTTTGTCCACTCAGTCTACTTTGAAGTGTACTTTGTCTACTTTGGTTCATGGCCTTCTTCTGGTTCCATAGAGGTTTCCCAGTCCCCTTACCTCTTCTATTTCATCAGAAGAGCTTAGGGGCAGAAAAGTCAGGACCTCTGTAATCTGGGAACCCATGCTTTGCATGTCTTCCTTATCTCTATTAGTTCCCTTAGCACTAGCTGACTGTGCTTAGTTTCACTTCTCTCCCACATCCTTATGTAAACTAGGATGCTCTAAATGTCACATGTTTGTATAATAATCATGGCACTTCCCTTTCAGATGTGCAAAGCAACCATCTACTTTTTAGTTTTTTATTTGCATGGATTTCAAAACAGAAAAAAAGAGAATAAGAACTCACATGTAAACTGGTAATACCTCACAATAAGGGTACTCACACACTTTGCAAGCACGTTTTTCATTCCACCTGGGGGCTTAACCAAAGTGTCTCAGAACACAGCAACACAAAATGTAGCTGAAAACCAATTTCAGCTTTCAAAAAGGCGTTTTAAATGATAAAATGACTGATCTGGTTAATAACAACATTACCGTATACACTTGAGTATAAGCTGAGATTTTCAGCCCATTTTTAAGGCTGAAAAAGCCCCCTCAGCTTATACTTGAATCAAGGTTATTTATTATTTTACTGTTGTTATCATTATTATTATTATTACATTTATTATGTTACTCTAATTATTATTATTATTATTATTATTATTATTATTATTACATTTACGTTATTTTACTCTATTATTTTTATTACATTTATTATTTTACTCTATTATTACATTTAATATTTTACTCTATTATTGTTATTATTATTATATTTACATTATTTTACTCTATTATTTTTATTACATTTATTATTTTACTCTACTTATGATTGTTATAAAAGAAGGAGAGCTCAGTTTCTCCCCTCCCATCTTCCACTTTGGACCAAACTAGACACGTCCATTGCACACTAGCAATTAACACATGCCTGCAATTACCATATTTAAATAAGTGGTGGATGGACAGAGGAGTTTGGACTGCACCACAACAGGAAGGAGGATTAAACATTTCTTCTGCTACTGTAATACTAAGAAAAAGGCTCCCTTCCAAATCTGTTTTTATCTCTAGAGGGCAAGCTCCCACTGTTGCTCTCCTGGGGCTAATAGCAGCTGAGCCTAGCCAAATACATCTCTTTTTCCTTTTTAAGAACAGTGTCTCCTCCTCTACAGTGGATCCTTCATCAAAGGGATTGAGTTTACATGGCTTTATCGTGCCCTATAATCTTGAAAAGTACCATATGCTGTTCCAATGATGTCATCCAATTGTGTGTGGTAGGTTCTAATCACAAGATGATAATATCATGGTGTTTGAACAGAACTGAGGAAGTTTCTACCCACATGTCAATCTTAGAATGGAATAGGCATTTTCAGGAAGAGGGGCCAACTATTTTATTAAAAGAGAAGAGAAAGTAATCAGAATTCAGTAGCTCTATGTTTGTTTGTTTGTTTATTTATTTACATCACTTTTATCCCACCCTTTTCAGCCCGAAGGCAACTCATGGCAGCATACAAAATGGCAACAGTTAGATGCCCCATATACTTACATATATCAGTTAAAAGCAATAAAATACATCATAAAATCCATATAAAACCATAGAAGCTATAAAAAACTATTAAAAAAACTATAGAAAACGAAGTCATCCAGTCCAGTTCCTCAGTATTATTTGGCCAGTGAAACAAAAAAAGGTAGTGTAAGCAAAGTTAATATATGCAAACATATGTATGTGTGTGCACACCTAAAAGTCACCTGTTAGCTTCTGGTGATGCCTGCCCATGATTTCCACAGGGTGTTCTTAGCTAAGGAACACTCAAGAGTTGGTTTTGTCAGTTCCTTTCTCTCAGTTCCTTTAGGGTATTCAATTCATATCATTGTGGCAGCTATCACAGGACAAAAATGGTGGTATGTGCGCCCTAGTGTCACCTCTTTGAAAATAACTACAGTTCACCCTTTGACATTTTGTTTTGTATTCTTTGTTATAATAATCACACATAAAGGTAAAGGTTTCGCCTGACATCAGGTCTAGTCTTGTCCAACTCTGTGGGGTGATGCTCATCTCCATTTCTAAGCCAAAGAGCCGATGTTGTCCGTAGACACCTCCAAAACCACCAAGAGCACCATTACCTTCCCACCAAAACAATACCTATTGATCTGCTCACATTTGCATGTTTTCAATCTGCTAGGTTGGCAGAAGCCAATGCTAACAGGGGAGCTCACCCCACTCCCCAGATATGAATCACCAACCTTTCAGTCAGCAAGTTCAGCAGCTCAGCAGTTTAACCCACTGTGCCACTGGGGACTCCTATAATCACACATATCAGACCAAGATACCTTAAACACACTAGATTCCATCTGACATTGGAAGCGCAGAAAGGTAAATTCCGATTAGTAATTGGATGGGGGACCACCAACAAAGACTAGGTGCAGTAGGCTATGATACAGAGAAAAGAATGGATGAATTATCTCTAAGTATTCCTTGTCTAAGGAAATTCTATGAAATTCACAGTCATCATAAGTCTTCAGGTAACTTGGAAAGAACATATATTCATACACAGTCATTAATACAGTTTGACACCCCTTTAACTTCTATGGTTCAATGCTACGGAATCATGGGAGTTATAGTTGGTTCTCTGATAAAGACTGCTGATGCCTCACCAAACAACAATGCCCATGATTCCATAGTATTGAGCCATGGCTGTTAAAGTCGTGTACAGCTGCATTAACTGTACAGTATAGGAACGCCCTAGCACAAGTATGCACATAATAAAGTCTTGCTGAGTACTACGTATATGGCTTATTTTCAATGTGTAAATTAGGGATGGGAACTTCCGTCCTACATGACAGATAGTCTATATCTAGCTTTCTGGAGAGTTTTGCTCTTGCCCCTGAACAATCATTGAATGAAAATAAAAAAACCCAGAATATCTAAATTTGATGTACTGTCGTTAAGTAAGCTTTGTTTGGTATCACCTTGTGCCTTTATCTAGATCTACTGCTGGAATGTGCCCCCAGCAAATCCTTCCAGAATTTGATTTACAGGATGCAAAAAGATTTCCTATTTATGCTGTAAAAGATTGCTACCTCAAGCAGTCATTGTTTAGAGGTGAGTCACACACACATTACCCAGCATCACCTTGGACTATTTTCCGAATGTTTCTGAAATTACACCTGCGTGAAGCTGCTTCCATGGGACACTGTTCCTCAATTCATCTCTAAACAAAGGCAGGCTTGGCTGAGATGAATACAGGAAGACAAACTTGTCTGAAGTTACACAACAGCTACAGTTTGTCATGCTGCTAACCACATGTTTCAATTGCATTAACCCAGTAACATGATTTTACTCGTGGTTTTGGGCAAATCTCCCCATCTCTTTTATCTTCAAGAATCCTATCTGCAGGAAAAAATGATACTCTTTTGCTATCTGATCTTCCTCAATTTCTGAAAGTGGGGTTTAAACCAGATTATTACAATTACAGTAATGTCCTCTGTGTCCACTGAATCTCACCAAACAAACCTGTTTTGATGTAAATACTCTCTGGAAACCATATTATAGGAAAAACTAAGTGTATTCTTTATTCTATGATAAGATAAGGTAAAGGTTTCCCTTTGACATTAAGTCTAGTTGTGTCTGACTCTGGGGTGTGTGTGTGTGTGCTCATCTCTATTTGTAAGCCAAAGAGCTGGCGTTGTCCATTGACACCTCCAAGATCATGTGGCCGCCATGAACTACAATGAGTGCCATTACCTTCCTACTGAGGTGGTACCTATTGATTTACTCCCATTTGAATGTTTTTGAACTGCTAGGTTGGCAGAAGCTGGGGTTAACAGTGGGAGCTCACCCCGCTTCCTGAATTTGAACCGCCTAGAACGCCGGCTCTTCGGCTTAGAAATGGAGATGAGCACCACACCCCAGAGTCAGGCATGACTGGACTTAATGTCAGGGGGCAACCTTTACCTTTACCTTTTACCTTTTGGTCAGCAAATTCAGCGGTTTAACCCAATGCACCACTGGGGGCTCCTTATTTTATCACAGAGGGTTAAATAAATTATTTTATCATAGAGGCTTAACATTACTATTAGACTTCTCAGAAATCCAACCATGCTACAATTCCCAGGATACTTTGGTGGAAGCCAGAGCAATTAAATTGCTATATTTATTACTGATTTATTGGTCTCATTTCCAAACCCATCTTCCCTTAAATGGGTTCAAGACAGTGCACATGGCTCTATGCCACTCTACTTAATTCTCAAAGAACCTTGTAAGGGACGGAGGGAGGGACTGGCCCAAGGTCATGTTGTGGATTTTTTGTTTCACTGGGAACTAGGATCTGGAACTTCCAAGTCTCAGGGCATGAACCCAGCCACAACATCACATTGGCTCTGAAACTGTTTGTGTAGGCTTTCGGTGTAATTTATTGTCAGCTCATCCAGAGATATGGAACTTCTGACTGCAGAGGGCTTAGCTATAGAAGGGGGGCAATGACCCAAAGCAAGCTCATGAGCTGCAGCTAGGTAAGCAAATACCCTGTCAGACCAAAATAGTCATGGGAAGCCATGTCAGCATCTTGGCTGCAAAAGGAAGTGAATGCATATTCCAGATGGACGACAGCCAGGCAGGATCGGAACACATTCTGGTCCTTGTGCTCTTTCCAGATTGCACTTCATCCAGTCGCTGTGGGAGCTCTGCAAGGACATTTTTTTATCCTTTCTCCCAAAAGATTTAGGACAGGCATCAAATCTATGCTTATCTGATTTAATCTTGTGAGCAGCACTGGTTAAGAGTGAATAACTTATCCAAAGCCACTGTTTCAAGGTCAAGTAAGGTCACTGTTGTTGTTTTTCCCTTTACAAACAACTTACATCTCCCATATGTACTCTACTCAGCTATGTTTCCTATGATGTTGTTATGACTGTGTTTGTTTTATTATTTTATTCATTGATTTTTATTTGTAATTTTTGGGCTTGTCCCTTTGTAAGCCGCCCCCAGTCCCCTTGGGGAGATGGTTGGTGGGGTATAAAAATAAAGTTATTATTATATTATATGAAATATTGGATGGCTTTTATTGATTATTTTAAATCATGATATTTATTCTCTTCCATAATGCATACAGAATTATGGACAGACTTGTTATTATGGTCACTCTTTCAATACATAAGTTGTAATATGTAGAGGATTCTTAAACAAATCCATACGTTTTAGTGTTGTTACTACCACATATACTTGCGAATAAGTCCCATCTCATGTATAAGTCAAGGGGAGATGAGGGGTGGCAAATTATGGGTTTTGCTTTGATCCTTGGATAAGTCGAGCATAAAAAATTAAGGTACAAATACTTAGGAAAAGCTAAAAAGAAGGAAATTATCTGCTTATTTGAGGGTTGAATTGCATTGCATATCTTAAAATGTCTAAATCTATACAAATACAAATTGAAAAATGAATATAAACACACAGGATTTTACAACAAGCCCCTGTTAAAAATGAATATTGTAGTTTCTTTGCAGGAACGAGATAGGAGTGCTTCTTGTCTTTGCCCCTTCTCACTGCCTTTGTGTTAGATCCCTATTCTAACACTAAACCAAGTTCTTAGGATTGCTTTTTTGTCAGAATTATTCAACTTATACATGAGTGTATAGATGGTAATTTTAAATCCTTTTATGAACTTTTGTTTCCTGTAATCTAAGATTTTTAGATACGGATCATTTTCAACCTATGCAATATTATGAGTTCAGTTTACTTAATTTACAAAATCCATATCTGATTTAAACCTGTAAGATACAGGGAAGAGAAGTCACATGGCCAATTTCAAAGTCAAGTAAGGCTTGTTTTTGTAATACCCTACACCTCCCACATGCAAATCTAGTTCTTTCACTCAGAGGTGAGTAACATATGGTTTTCATATGATGCTGGACTACATCTTCTGCCTGCCCTTCCCTCAAAACTTGGTAATATTTGAAACTGCTGCAATTATATTGTAGCATCTTTGAAGAAATACCCCATGACCTATCTGTTGTACAGTGTTCCCTCACTTATTGTGTGGGTTCTGTCTCCGAAATAGGGATGCCATATTAATTTTAATATTTTTACATTATTTTACATATTTTATATATTATTTTATTACCAGCTCTTCCTTACCCACCACCCAGCCCATCCTAAGGGTGCCTGCTTGCCTCCCTGGCCTTCGCAGTGTTGGGACTCAGCCTGTGATTGAACCTGAGCCTGTGATTGAACCTGTGATTGTGTTTCAGTCTCCTGATGTTTCTGTGTCTGATGTGGGTAATGAGGAGGGAAATCAGTCTCCTGTTGCTTCTGATGTGGGGGATGCTGGGACTGACTCTGAGGTGCAAGATGGAGACACTTTGGTCAATGAGTTTCATGCAGACACTGACAGAGAGGCTTCGGTGCAAAGGGCAGATTCTCATGAGAATGTTTCTGTCAGGCCTTGGGAGAAAGGTTTACTTCCTCCGCCTTCCTTCCTTCCTCTTACTTACTTCCTGCTAAAGTTAATGAGGAGTCAGATAAGCAGAGTCAGTGGCTGGAGATTAGCCAGAATCGACAAGAGGCCCAATGTTTACGTAGATCTGAAAGAATTTGTAAGTTAAGGTCAAAGACTGGAGGGAAACGAAACCAGTTTTGGGATTTAAGGTTTGCCTTCAGAGAATCTTGTCAGATCAGGCAGCGTTTGGAAACCAAGTACAAGCCTCATGGAATTCCTGTTGAAGTGGTCTAGTCTTCATGGATTTTTCTAGCCTTTCAAGTTGACTAGCAGTGTCTGGTCTGTTCTTGCTTCATGTTTGATTCCTGTCTGGGTAATCATTGCCTTGGATTGTATTTTCATGCTTTTTGGACATTGATTTTGATTGCTACACGTGGATACTGTTTTATCTTGCTGCCTTTGAATGCCTTATTGCTTTTTGGAAAATTATCTATCTTTGCAAGCATTTATTTCTACTGGGTTTTTTTTTTGCTAAGCTTTAATAAAAAGGATTGTACCTTCACTCAATGTGTGGTGTGTTTATAGTCAGAGGGGCTATTTCCTGTTCTGGAGTGCAACACGCAGAGCCTCTGGAGCCACGCAGGCAGCAGCAGGCCAGGGAGGCAGGCCTTCCCTGTTGTGCCTCAGGCCGCTGCACTTCTGGGGTCCCTGGCCTCCACTGGACATAAATATTTTATATTTTTTATTAATATTTTCAAAAACTCATGAAACAGCAAGTCCGCTAAAAGCGAACCGCAAAGTAGCGAGGGAACACTGTATATCTTTTCTCATTTGGGATCTGCTATGATGTTTCAACTATAATGTGTCCACCCACTTATTTCAAAGGAAACTTTCCAAAGTTCTGTACTAGTTAGGACAATGATTTGAGAGCCCCCAAAGCATTACAATATCCCTCCTTTCCCAACATTTCTCATTTTCAATTTCTTAACTCACTTACCATCTGCTTGAAGGCATTCTCAATGGCTCCCACTACTAAACTCTCATGAGAAATCACCTTTTCCATATGGAAGCGTGGCAAAGCATTATTTGGGACCTCAACGTCTTCCTGTGCCAGAGGAGCTTTATTTGGTTCTGCTACAAATGTCCTAGAACCATCCTGTAGGCAGATTGGAGGAGGGGATGGATCTTGCAAAATGTCTACCAAATCCCGCAGTTGGTCCCGGATGTGAAAGTGAAGCAGTTTGGAAGCCATGATTGCAGCTCCACTTCCAGCATGTCCATCAAACAAACCCCAGTAATAAAAGCACAGGCCTTTGCTGCCCTAAGGGAAGGAATAAAGAAAAAGAAATGACCAAAGATAAAAGAACTGCCTGAAAAGGAAGCAAAACAATAAAAAACATACATATGGTAAAGGAGTGATTGTCTTCCCTGTTCTAATATCCCAGTGACTTGCTAGTGGAGGCACAGAAAATGAAGGGAAAACCAGTTCCAAGAGATCAGACATCTATGTCTATTGGCAATGGATTGGATGTAGAAACAGAATGATGCAGTCTTGTGCTATGACTTTTTTTTGCCTTTAGAAGTCCGCAACACTGGCAATACACAGTGCTGAGAAGTAGATGTTAACAGAGAGCTGGCCCTATCACTAGGCAAAGTGGAGACACTACTTTAAATGGAAGATGCCAAGACAAAGGAGTTCTTTCTGAAGGAACTGCAGAATTAACACAGTCTGACACCAATTAAACTGCCATGGTTCAATACTATGGAATCATAAGAATCAGGACATGCTACTTGGCACTCACTCATAGTTGTATCTTCCAAGCAGTGCAGTCGTGAATGCAGTTGTGTCTTCCAAGCAGTGCAGTAATGAGTCCACTCCAGGTTTTAATCTAAATTTTAAGGAGCTAGCCAGTGCAATGAACCCTATTTTCAATTGCTATGAAGTTGATACAAATCATGAATTCTCTTTCCCACTGAGATGGAAGTCACTAATTGCCTCTGCTTTCAAAAACCAGGAACACATGGGAGAGTGAGGGTTCACTCCAGGTGTTTTGGACTTCAACTCCCAGAAATCCCAGCCAGCTTACCAGCTGCTAGGGACTGGGGAGCTGAAGTCCAAAACACCTAGAGGCCCAAAGGTTGGGAACTACTGATCACAGTAGAATAATGCAGCTTTATACAGCATTTAAATGTCCTGACTCAGTGCAGTTCTCTGCCAGGACTTCTGGCAGAGAATTATAGTTGTAAAACTATAATTCCTTAGACAGGCTTGCTGCTGTAAGAGTGTTGTGGAGAGTACTATACAATGTTGTCAGTACTGAATTAAGATTAAGATTAAATTGGCAGTGCAGTCAGCTTCTGTCTGAAACAGAAGAGTAGCTGCAGGCTCATCTTTTGCCTTAGGTATCAAAACATCTTGGAACGGCCCTGTCCCAAGGGAAGGGGCAGAGGGCAAGCTTTAAATAATAAATGCTATGGGGGACATGTGTTCTTGAGGGTGAATGTATATATATCTGGATTTTCTTGGCTGAAAAAAGGATGCCAGGGTAACTCAGAAAAGCAGATTTTTTTTTTTTTTTTAAAAAAAGATCCTACAGTTTCCAGTTCAAATTCTGCCAATTGAGAAACTAGCTTGCTGTGAAACATTTGATCTGCTTCTTCTAAATAAGCAAGAAGTAGTGGGGTGGCAGAGTTCTTTTGCTTGATCCATCAATACCTTATTCACCTTTTCTTACTTTAGATCACTGTTTTTCAACCTGGGGTCAGTACTCTTGGGGGGGGGGGGTCACCAAAGACCATCAGAAAACAGTATTTTCTGTTGGTCATGAGGGTTCTGTGTGGGAAGTTTGGCCCAATTCTATTATTGGTGGGGTTCAGAATGCTCTTTGATTGTAGGTGAACTATAAATCCCAGCAACTACAACTCAAAACATCCAGGTCTATTTTCCCCAAACTCCACCAGTGTTCACATTTGGGCATATTGAGTATGTGCCAAGTTTGGCCCAGATTCATCATTGTTCGAGTCTACAGTGTTCTCTAGATATAGGGGAACTACAACTCCAAAACTCAAGGTCAATGTCCATCAAATGCTTCCAGTATTTTCTGTTGGTCATGGGAGTTCTGTGTGCCAAGTTTGGTTCAATTCCATCATTGATGAAGTTCAGAATGCTCTTTGATTGTAGGTGAACTATGTTTGTTGTTCATTCGTTCAGTCGTTTCAGACTCTTCGTGACCTCATGGACCAGCCCACACCAGAGTTCTCTGTCAGCCGTCACCACACCCAGCTCCTTCAAGGCCAATCCAGTCACTTCAAGGATCCCATCCATCTATCTTGCCCTTGGTCGGCCCCTCTTCCTTTTTCCTTCCATTCCATTTATAGGTGAACTATAAATCCCAGCAAATACAACTCCCAAAGGACAAAATCAACATCCCCTCCCCCCAACCCCACCAGTATTCAGATTTGGGTATATTGGGTCTTTGTGCCAAATTGGGTCCAGTGAATGAAAATAGATCCTGCATATCTGATATTTACATTACAATTCATAACAGTAGCAAAATTCCAGTTATGAAGTAGCAACAAAAATAATTTTATGGTTGGGGGTCACCACAACATGCAGAACTATATTAAGGGGTCACGGCATTAGGAAGGTTGAGAACCACTGCTTTAGATTGTATCAGGTTTTACTCTAGATTTGTTTACATCCATCCTATTAGTCTTATGGGTTTGCTTTTTTTATTTTTTTGCTTCCAAATGCAAGCTACATTGATTCCCGCAATTATAACAGATGGAAAGTGTTTATGAAACTCACTGCCAATTCTATGCTTATAAAGCCTGTGCACACAAAGCTTTGAAAAGTTACTTTTTGGAATACAACTTGCAGAATTCCACCAGCCAGTATGGCCAGTGGCTGTGCTGGCTAGAGAACTCTGGGGACTGTAAACCCCCAAAGTAACATTTCTAAATTGTGGCCTACATGTGTGAAAGCAGAATGAGGTTAGCAACCAGTTTCCCTGTAGAAACCCATGGACCACCCAGTTCCCAATCACAAGAGAAACCATTGGTGAACACTCTCTGGGTTCGGTCACTTAACTATTACACATCCATCTAACAGTAGTATATTTAGCCCATATTTTACATGCTTGTTTGCAAGAAGATCATGGTAGACCTTGACAAAGGCCTTAGTGAAATAAAAATATGCTAATCAACAGCATTCCCCACATCTATCAAGCTTGTAGTCACAGGAAGAGACATCACATGACTCAGAAAGGGTCTGCAGAGGAAAATTGAGATATCTGTGTTAGGTACAAGGTTCATGGATGCTGCTGGGGATGCGATGGGCTATTTTCATATGTCTAAGAGGATGTTGCAGATGGGACTCCTCAAAAAACCACTTTCTCTCATATAAGTCTCATAGGCAGGCATGTAGCCGGGGGGGGGGCTTCAACCCTCCCCCCCGAAATGCTCATGGTGGTCCGCAAGAAGGCCTTACTGGTACATTATTTAAACTGTTATGTTTATTCATATCATGATCTGATCACCATGCTCAATATATCCCATATGCATGGGGGTATTGGGGTAACGATACAAAAGGTTTGCTAGGGTAGACCCCTTTCACTCAGACTCAGCCCCCCTCCCCCGAATCAAACTCAGCCCCCCCTCCCCAAATCAAAATCCTGGCTACGGGTCTGCCCAATGGCCATTGTTTACTAAAATATGGAACTACTTTCCTACCTCAAGCAGGAGAGAAAGTGCTGTCACTGAGACATAACATTCAGAAGAAGACATAGTTGTCACAAGGCTCACCTCTTCCAGATCTCCAGAAGCTTCCTTAGGGGCTGGGTTAGTCCTTGGGCCTCTTCTTTTTCCCACAAACACAGCTTCACAGCAAGCTTGATCCTCATTATGTTGGCTTTTGCCAGCATTGATGACCCTTAACAAGAAAGAAAGGCCAAGTGAATAAGATGGGCTTAAAGGCAGAGTGTGTGATTAATTTTGTTTCATTAATTTATGTCCATCTGTATTCTCTCAACTCTTGAACAAGGAAGAACCAAAGCTGAGGAGAAATGAACTGATTTTCTTAAAACAGAAGGTGATGTGTGGATACCTCCAAGTGGAAGCTCCTATTATTTACAATCAAGGAGGCATAATACACATACTTCATATTTTTTCTTATGATATTTTTCCTGGTAAGTAAAAGGATGGAAGAAACATTGAGGAAATGTGGGACAGCAGTAAACAGGAGATGATATTCTCCCAATAGTCTGTAAAATTTCATTAATGAGGCAGTGTGATTGCACAGTAAAATCTCATCTGAAGCCACTTAGAGAGAGGATTTTTGTACTTGGAGGCAGCTCAGTACATTTTAATACATCTCAGTCTGTTGTCGCAGGTATGAGCAACTTCATATTCCCAAATGGTGTACTTTTCCATACTAAGAGAAAGAATGAATTAAGCAATAGAAAAACAAGGACATATTAAAACTATACAACACTGTCTGACATCCCATAAAATTCGCTAAACAGGAGAAGTGAAGGGTATGGGGGAGCAAACCCCTCATATCAAACCCAAAGTCATGCAATGTTGTGTATTTTATTGTCTATGTTTTTTAATTGCTTGTATTGTTGTTTTATTGCTTGTATTGTTGTGTTTGGGCTCGGCCTCATGTAAGCCGCACCGAGTCCCTTGGGGAGATGGTAGCAGGGTACAAATAAAGTAAATAAAATAAATAAATAAATAAATAGATGTTGCAACCACTGTCCATTTGTAATTCTCCTATGTGCTCTTGCTGTCTATCTCATTTTTTCTTCCTTTCCTTTTAACAATTTATCGAAGGACAGATGGAATAGCTACCCAGTGCCTTTTGAAGTAAAACTGGAACAACTTCTTTATCCTCTTTCAAGTATATAGTAGTTTCATCTCAGGCAGATCGTATACTAGCTCATCAGCTCTAGATAGAAAACCACTGCTACAGAACTTTGCTCAAGCCCTTGAAGGAAGCCTTTATTTTTGCTGACATAAATCTGAAAGAGGACTCCCATCAAGAATGTGACTAGCAGCAGACAATACTTCTCAGAAGAGAGAACTGAATGAGTAACATGAACCAGAAGTTCTTGTTTGCCTGATATAGTTCCTTTCTTGTTCATTATTATTCCTTTGGGATACAAAAAATAGGGTAACATGCCTATAAACTACAAAACCCAGCTCTGTGGGAGGAAGTTATAGAGATGCAAAGCAGGAAGTGCTGGATAATTGTTTGTAGAGTAAAGTGGTTTGTCGCTGAAGAAGTGTGGCTGAAAAAGATCTCACAGGAATTTTAAAATTCCCTCTGTGACACAATTTCCCAAAGCTAAGCAGCTGAAAAATACCTCTAATGTTTCTGAAGTGCTTTAAGTTTGAAACACACAGCAGCAGTGTTTTTGCAAATTACAAAAATGTAAGTATACACAGATATAAGGAAGAAACATATATTTTCTTGACCTTTTCAAGGCCAAGAAATTTATCAGAGAAATAAAAGTGGTTAATATTCAGGCTTGCTTAGCTTTAGAAAGGTTGCTGTGCCTATCTATGCCTTCAGATCACACCAATTCTGTTTCAATGGAATTAGAACTATGTCATGTTGTTTCCTCCTGCTGGATTCTGAAAAGAGGAAGGAGTGCTGCAGGATATACTAAAAGATATCAGAAAATTATTCCAGATACTACTCTACAGAGCCTAGTGAGTCATAGAATTATAGAGCTGGAAGAGACCTCATGGGCCATCCAGTCCAACTCCCTGCCTAGAAGCAGGAAAATCGCCTTCGAAGCATGTGTGCTGGTACAGCTGTACCAGGAGCTCCAATTTTGTTTGCTTTGCATTGAATGTTTGTTGTAGTCCTAAGTTTCAGGGACTCTGCAGATAGGTGGCTTCTTTTGGCTGCAATCATAGGGCAAGCCACCTGTCAATTATAGTTAGGTTCCCTGGTCCCACCCCCTTTTGGGGTTTTTGGAGGGAATAGGAGCCTTTTTGAGTTCAGTCCACACAGAGCAGCTTTCCATGCAGGACATAATACCAAGAGCTCCTGTAGAAAGCTTCGTCTTCTACGGCTTGGCCGGGGAGATATACAGCCTACAGCTTGGCCGGGGTTATACAGCCCACAGCTTGGCCGGGGAGAAAAGGCCCCACAGCTTGGCTGAGGATTTTACAGCCTTACAGCTCCTTTGCTGAAGGACTTCAGCCAGCCATCACGGAAACCTGAACTCCTTCTTTTCCCCTGGAAGTCTACAAATCTCTGCTTGGTAAGGGTCGCTTGCGGAAGCCAGACGCAGTTGGTACCGGGTGCAGGGGCTCCACGCCAACAGACTGCCCAGATTAGAAGTTAAGGATTTCCCCATTAGTTACAGTTATGAAGATAGTGCCTGTTCCCTGTGGACAAGATTGAGAGAGAGCCAATAGACTGTTAAGAAAGCTTTAAAGTACCTGTTTGTTTTCATTAATAAAGAACATTGTTGAACCTTTAAGCAATCTAAAGACTCTGTTTGGGGGAATCCAAGGGCCTTTAATCTGAGGCAGCCACAGCGTCCCGCTGGCCACACAGAATTTATGTCCTCTCTACAGTTTTATGCACAGGCCCACCATGTGACAGCACAACCCCTGACAGATGGTCATCCAGCCGCTGGATGACATTTGTCCTTGCACTTTGCTACTCTGCTGCTGAGTATGCATGCCCAGTGTGGAACACATCTCACCATGCTAAAACAATGGATGTGGCTCTTAATGAGACATGCCGCATTATCACAGGATGTCTGCACCCTACACCATGGAGAAATTACACTGTTTAGCCAGTATTGCACCACCTGACATCCGCCGGGAAGTAGCAACCAATAGTGAAAGGACCAAGGCAGTGATATCTCCAGCCCATCCTCTGTTTGGGTATCAGCCAGCATGTCAATGACTTAGATCAAGAAAGATCTACAGAGACACTTGCTGGAACACCTCAGCAAGTGAGAGTCCAAGTGGCAGGCTAAAACCCAGACCTCAACATGGCTGATACCAAATGAGAGACTCCCCTGGGCACACAGAAGACTGGACGACTTAGAAAGCACTAAACAGACTGCGCTCTGGCACCACGAGATGCAGAGCAACCCTTAAGAAATGGGGCTAGAAAGTGGACATGCGAGTGTGGAGAAGGCAAACCACAGACCACCTATTACAATGAAGTCTGAGCCCCGCCACATGCACAATGGAGGACGTTCTCATAACAACACCAGAGGCACTCCAAGTGGCCAGCTACTGGACAAAGGACATTTAATAGAATGCCAAGTTTTCAAACTTTGTGTGTGTGTTTTTTTTAAAATACAACTGTTTGGTTCACTCCTGATACAATAAATAAAATAAAATGCCCCTAGAAGGTCTGAAGGGATAAAGGAATGAAGTCTCATTTACAGTAAGGGTTGTTTTATTTTTCTTATGCCTACTTTCATTGTTAAGAACTAATTAGGACAGCCATGGAATGAGGGAGGATATCTGAGTTCAGCTGGTGTGATTACATTGTTTTGAGTGGCACATAGCTGCAGTAGCACAGTGGGTTAAACCACTAGCTGCAGAAAAATTTGCTGACCGGAAGGTTAGCAGTTCGAAGCCGTGGGTCGGGGTGAACTCCCGCTGTCAGCTCTAGTTTCTGCCACTGTAGCAGTTCGAAAACATGTAATGTGAGTAGATCAATAGGTACCGCCTCAGCGGGAAGGTAAAAAAGGGGCCCTGCAGCCAAGAGGGTCTACGGACAACAGGCTCCTCATATGGAAAATGGAACAAGAGCACCTCCCTATGGCCAGAGTTGAGCATTGCCTCCAGACGCTGGAGATGGAAAGAGAAACCTTTGCCTTTGTTGTGTATTGTATGTCATTGTTTACTGTATAAAAAAAAACATTGAATGTTTGCCTATATATGTGTTTACTGTAATCTGCTCTGAGTCCCCTTGGGGAAATAGAGCCAAGTATAAATAAAGTGTATTATTTTTGCTTTGGCAAAGTTCAACCTAATGTTGAACCTCGATGCAGACTGAGTATAGACGGTACTGCATGTTGGCCCAAAATGGGGCCATCCTCGTTGCTGTTCCTGGGGTTCCCGGCAACAGACTGAGGGGAACTTGCTTAGTTCATATTTCTTCCTTATGCTGTTGTCATCATGCCTGCATCTTCAATCAGTTTCTTTCTGGAATTACAACTACTTGTGTGCTTATTGCCTTCAAAAAAGAAAGAACCCTTTGCCTTCGGCAGAACAGACATTCACACTGTTTTGGTTCAGTTCCACAAGTTATGAGTAATCTCGAATCTCGATAGAGGCTTTTGAGATACTATCTGATCCTTTTCTGCAAACTGGATGTGCATCCCCTTTGCACCCTTGACCAAGTCATTCATAAAAGTGTTAAACAATACTCAGACCAGGATTTAGCCCAGCTGTCATCTCCTGTGTCATTTCTTCCCAGGATGACGAGAGGCCACTAGTGCATATTCATTAAGTACAATTTCTCTACCATTTAGAAATAACATTATAAACACCACTTTGGAAAAAATATGTTGGGGAAGTGGACAGAGAGAAGTCAGTTACATCTAGCAGGCATAGTTGGCTAAAATGTGAGCTCATCTGCTAAAGCTGAATAATGAGAGATTTTGTTTAAACAAACAAACAAAAAAGAGTACTTCTTGAGACAATGCACTGCTGCAGGATTCAGTACAGTATGACCCCCGTACCCATAGGGGATATGTTTAAAACCCACCTTGGATACCTGAAACTGTGGACAATAGTAAACTCTTTATTGGAACTATACTTGAACCAGAAATATACTATAGAATTGTACTGGATGACCTAGAGAGAGACACAAACAATTCCAGGAGAAGTGGAAGGTAAATGAAACTACTTTTTTGGAGTGGAGGTAAATGAAACTACAGATATTGAGTCCAAGGATGAGAGAGTTGAATTGTACTATGGGATATAAAGATGGCAACCAACTTGGAAGGCTTTAAAATGGGCAAGTTCATGGAGGATAGGGCCACTAGTGACTATAAGTCATTATCAAGATATGACTCCCTTGGTCTCTCTGTTGTATTAATACGGATACTTATCATTTGCTGGGGAGCTTGAATATATGTGTGGGGGGATGCTTTTGCAGCCCATGTGTGAACTAAATGCTGGACTCAGTTTGGTTCTTACATTTTTAAACACCAGTTAGTTGATGTAGCTGATTCCGTGCATACATACTCTTAAGTTAAATCCCAGAGGGTTTGCCGAATCGTATTACCTGTTCAATGTGCTGCAATATGAACCTGCATACCAGGTGCTGCTGGTGTTTGCAACTTCAGCAGCTTTTTATTTAATACTGCTTGAGCAAGACAAAATAAATCATGACAGACAGAAAATTACCAAAAATTGCAAGTGAATTGGTCCCAAAAGAAGAATYARAAATGAGAAGTTCTACTGGTTTCATGTTGAAATTATCACTGTGAAAGGRCTCATGCTCCTCTCTTTCAGGCCAAAGATGACTGCTTGAAAAGCCAAGCAGATTTTATGAATCCAAAGTGGACTTTTTCTACTACAGAGTGTGTGTGCTCAGTTGTCTTCAAATGTGAATGATGAAGACTTATCTAATGAAGACATTGAAATAGTTAYAAGATTTTCCACACCTTGGCTCAGGCKTTAATCAGAATGAAGACTGCAATCAAGAACCAGAAGACTAGGATTTGGAAGAGCAACAATMAAGTAACTAGACAAAATTCTGACATGTCAAGATAAATAATTGAATACTAAAGTTAGGATTGTCTGTAACATCGTATTTGCCATTTCGATGTGAAAGCTGGAGAGCAAAGAAAGGTGATAGGAGGAAAATCKACTTATTCYAAATYTGATGCTAGAGGAGAGTTCTGTGGATACCATGTACTGTCAAAAAGACAAATAAATGGGTTCTAGAGTCAATTAAGTCTGAACTTTCCCTAGAAAACAAAATGACAAAACTGAGATTTTTGCACTTTGGACACATCTTAACACATTAATCACTAGAATRGATGGTCATGCTTTGTAAGATAGAAGGCAGTGGGGYGGGGGGYYYYGGAAGACCRCATTACAAGTGGATAGACTCAGTCAAGGAAGCCATAACTCTGAGCCTGCAAGGCCTGAGAAAGGCTGTTGAAGATAAGGTGTCTTGGAGTCAAAGTCAACTTGACAGCCATAAGCTATACAACAACACTGACTCAGTGGATCAGTCAGTTTTGCCCTCCTGTTCCTTTGCGTAGGAAATCTCCAAGGTCAAAACCCTGCAAGTACAATTTATTCATTTAAACACCCAATCATTTAATAGAGTGACAAAGCTATATCTGGCACAAGGAGTGGGAGAGAATGTGCTTTTGTTTCATTACCAGGAGTATACGGAACTGGAATCTGACACAGACTACAGTGCAGGCAAAGGGTTAAGGCCTCTTTCACCACACAATATTTCCAACCCAGCTAGCTCCACCAGTTACTGTTGTTGTTGTTTTTAAACCAACCAAACAACCAAAAACAAAGGAAATGTATACATATCAAGGAAGTCAGTTACATCTAGCAGGCATATTTAAAAGTTGCAGCTAGCTGGCTTTTCCATAAGTACAGTTTAAAAAAGGAAGTGCCTGATATTGCAGTTATGTCAACTCCGTTTCCATATAATACAAATACATGCACAGTTCTTCATTTAGAGTCAAATAGCCAGATCTTTCAAAAAATGTATTCTTTGACAACATAGCCAGTGGTTTAAGCGTGCTAGGAGTTGTTCTAGACCAGTGGTTTTCAACCTGTGGTCCGTGGACCACCAGTGGTTCGCAAGATCTAAAATATGGTCCACAGCCTCCCATTGCAATGAGAGCGACTAGTCTCATGAAAACCTCTTATAGTGCCGAGGCTTATTAAATATGGTTTTCTGTGGGTAAGCAGATGGCGACTACTGGATGATATATGTTCTGTATCAGAAAGCAGAGCTGATGAGGTCTATCCAATGTAATTTTCTGAATCAGCATCCCAAATAAAGTTGCCCCAAAACTGATTTGAAACCCTTTTGATACTAATGTTGGAAAGTGGCCCCTGGTACAAGTGATCCATGGTCAAATAGTCTCTGGTCAAGTGGTTCCTGGTCAAAAAAAGGTTGGGAACCACAGTTCTAGACAAAAGATAAACTTCAAATGACTCCATTCTGAACTCTTAGAAGCAGGCGTCAATCCAATCTTCAAGTTAAGTATGTTAAAGCTGCTGCTCAGGACTGTACTACAGCACATGTCTGCCTACATGGGACAAGTGGATGATACTGATTTCCAAATTAAAATTTAGTTTCCCCATTAAACTCAATGACACTCAGTTTCCATTCATAAACATTCACTAAGTTGGACTGCACATAAGTACTCTACACATTTGTAACAGTACTTCTCAATGGGCAAGGTATCCCCTACTCAAATAAATGTCCCCAAAGAAAATGAACCAAACCCACAAAACAACTTCCTTGTCCAAATAATTATATTTAGAACCTGTATATTATCTGAGAGCTGAGCCTTAGCAACCTTCTTACAAGAGGCCCTTTCTTATCCAACAAAAGGAAGCTAAGGTCACAGCAAGTCATGAGACCACCTGAAGAAAAGTGGAACCTTCAATTTACTGGAAACCAAAACTATTATTATTGTAATGAAAGTAGAAATACAAATGGGTTAAAACTGTAAAACAGTAGCAGCTCTGTTTAATTTCATTACTGTGTTTTAGAATATGAAACAAGATAGCTGAAGAGCAAAACATTGATTTTGAAAAATAAAAACAGTCCCAGTAAAATGAAGCATGCTGCATTACCACCTTTCTGTGGAAAGACTTCTGCCTTTAACAGCTAGATGACAGTTTCCCTATTTCCCATGCCAGGAAAAGCCTCATCTCCAGAATGTATATCCATCAAGTAGGTGTTTGGTTGGTTGTTTTTTTTTAAAGGGAACTTATCAGAATACAAAATTAGAAATTTGTTCACCCACACATGGCATAGCATTGGGCTAAACGCCAGATTATTTTGTAAGTAGTTGGTTATTTTTATATCTTTGGATTGTGTGTGCCCTCAATACATTTGGGATATATATTTCAAGTTTTTCTCCCACCTGCAAAGGCACAGAAGCTATTTGTGTATTATGTAGGACAGACAGACTGGAGCAAAAGAGAGGCACCCTAAATGTACCAAGTCGATTCTATGTGTATATGAACGAGATTGTATTTTGGCTGGGGCATATAAGGCGATATTCCTTTTCCCATTTCACATTTAACACCAGATCTGCACAGATCTGGCTCTGTGAAAAGAAAAGTGCATTTGTTCATTTTTCGGATTGTTGTGATATATAATCTAGGTATCTATCTCATCATCAACATTTAGAAAAGTCCTCTCTTGTGCACTCCATGTATGCTCACAGAGCCTCTCAAAGGAAGAAAGAGCATCTCTGAAAGGCCATTGGCCTCCCCTGTTGTGTTTATCCACTTAGTGGGCCCAGCATGGGCAAAAAGAGAGAGCTTAGAGAGGGAGGAGAGCACATGCACATCTCTCAGAAGAAATGCCTGCTGCACAGCTACACAAAGACAGGTGGCTGAAGACTAAACCAGCTGGGAACCATTCCTTGGTCAGGAGCACCAGGAAGGGTGCACCTCCTGCTCCTCGAAAGCACCCCCCCCTCCTAATTTTCAGGACTGTGTCTTTCAGTTCCATTTAAAGGAAGAAGGTCCCATTTAAAACAGAGCAGCGGGAATTTAGAAAAGAAAAGAACAACTTTTAGGAAAATCAGCAAAGGAAAAGTCAGCAAAGGAAACCTTGTACCAGTAGGACCATAGAATCATAGAGTTGGAAGAGACCTCATAGGCCATCCAGTCCAACCCCCTGCCTAGAAGCAGGGAAATCAGATTCAAAGCACACCCAACAGATGGCCATCCAGCCTCCGTTTAAAAGCCTCCAAAGAAGGAGCCTCCACCAGGGCAGAGAGTTCCACTGCTGAACAGCTCTCACAGTTAGGAAGTTCTTCCTCATGTTCAGGTGGAATCTCCTTTCCTGTAGTTTGAAGATATTGTTCAAGGGGAAGTTTGCTCCTGCCTGCCATAGATGAACGGGCAAGGGCTGCTCGTGGGGTTGGAATGGGAAAGTACTCTGAATAGGGATGAAATATCAACCCCACCGAGATCCCCCTCTCCCTCCCTCGCTCGCTCGCTCGCTCTCGGGGCTCCTACTCTGCGTAGCCGGTGCTCCAGGGCAGGCGTCGCCGGCTCTCGCGAGGGCTCTGGACGGCTCTCCCCGAGTGGTCGTCCGCCTGCAGCAGCTCCTCGGCTGTCAGCTGCAGGAAACCCGGCCTCGAGAAGCTGCCTCGCCGCGGAGGAGCCGCCGGATCCCGTCTGCAGGAGCTGGCGGCGGAGGAAGAGGACGAGGAGGAGGAGGAATCAGCAGCAGCAGCAGAAGCAGCAGCAGCCGCAACCGAGCTGGAACTGGGCGCGGGCGGCGGAGGGGAGGCCGAGGCTGCCTCTTGGTTGGAGGGGCTCCCCGAGCTGCCCAGCCCCCCGACGAGCTGCGCCATGGCCGAGCGCACCCGGCCCAACATGCTGCCGCCGGAGCGAAGAGGAGGAGGAGGGGGAAGGCGACGGGGAGGAAGAGGAGGAACTGCCGCTTTAGGGAACCGCCGCCGAGCAGCTTCTGCCTCCTCCTCCTCCTCCTTCCTCCTCCTTCTCCTCCTCCCCTGGCGGCATCCTCAAGCGGGGTCTGCTCGGCTTCAGGAGCTCCGTGGCGGAGGCCCCTTCGAGTCGCCACTCCCCCTCTCTCAGGGGGTGCTTAAAGGGGGCACCTCCCCCCAAGAGGAGCCTTCCTCCTCCCAAAGGGGAGACCCCAGGCTTGGAGGGCACTGCCATGACACAATGCCCAGGAATCACTGGAGATTGAGATATGTAAGGTCTGCACCAGGCAAGGGCAAACTTGGACCCTCCAGGTGTTTTGGACTTCAGCGTCCACCAGCCATGTAAGGGGGGGGGGGCTTGAGGGGCTTCAGCCCCCCCCTGAAATTCTCAGGGTGGTCCACGAGAAGGCCTTACTGGTACATTATTTAAACTGTTATGTTTATTCATATCATGATCTGATCACCATGCTCAATATATCCCATATACATGGGGGTATTGGGATAATGATACAAAAGGTTTGCTAGGGTAGATCCTCAGCCCCCCCCCCCCCATCAAAATCCTGGCTACGGGCCTGGCTCCCACCATTCCTAACAGTCTGAGGGGGTTTCAACTCCGGTTTATTTATTTATTTACCGCATTTGTATACCGCCTTTCTCAGCCAGAGGCAACTCAAGGCAGTTCACAGTCAGCAGCGATTCGATACCTTAACAATGATAAAAATACAGTTAAAACCATTATAAAAACAATTAAAACATTTAAAATGTGATATAAAAACAATGCAGCGTGTAAAAACAAAATCCTCGGTGTCCCCTTATTAAAATCATTGTCCAATTGCATTGTAGGTCATTCTATATATTCGTTTTTGTCTAATTATGCTCCAGTAGTAAATTCTTGCTTGAAGAGCCAATTATAAAAACAATTAAAACATTTAAAATGTGATATAAAAACAATGCAGCGTGTAAAAACAAAATCCTCGGTGTCCCCTTATTAAAATCATTGTCCAATTGCATTGTAGGTCATTCTATATATTCGTTTTTGTCTAATTATGCTCCAGTAGTAAATTCTTGCTTGAAGAGCCAAGTCTTAACCTTTTTGCGGAATGTTAGAAGGGAGGGAGCTGATCTTATATTCCTGGGAAGGGTGTTCCATACCTGAGGGACCATCACTGAGAAGGCCCTGTCTCTCGTCCCAACCAAACGTATCTGCGAGGAAGGCTGGATCGAGAGCAGGGCCTCCCCAGACGATCTTAAGGTCCTAGATGGTTCATAAGGAGAGATACATTCGGATAGGTAAGCCGGACTGGCACTGTGTAGGGCTTTATAGGCTAAAGCCAGCACTTTGAATTGTGCCTGGTAGCAGACTGGCAGCCAGTGGAGCTGGCGCAACAGAGGGGTCATATGCTCCCAGAGCGCTGCTCTCGTTAGCAACCTGGCTGCCGCTCGTTGGACCATTTGGAGCTTCCAGGCAGTCTTCAAAGGCAACCCCACATAGACAGTGTTGCAGTAGTCTATATGGGATGTAACCAGATCATGGACTACCATGGCCAAGTCAGACTTCCCAAGGTATGAGCACGGCTGGCACACATGTTTTAATTGTGCAAATGCTTGCCTGGTCACTGCCGAGACCTGAGTTCCAGGCTCAACAATGAGTTCAGGATCACACCCAAGCTGTGAACCTGTGCCGTCTGGGGGTGTATAACCCCATCCAGCACAGGCTGTAACCCTATGCCATGTTTGGCCTTACGACTGACCAGGAGTACCTCTGTCTTGTCTGGATTCAATTTCATTTTGTTAGCTGTCATCCAGACCGTCACAGCAGCCAAGCACCGATTCAGCCTCCTTAGTAGCAGGGGGGAAGGAGTGACAGAGTTGGACATCATCTGTGTACAGATAACACCGTACCCTGAAACTCTGGATGATCTCCCCCAGCGGCTTCATGTAGATGTTAAACAACATGGGAGACAGTGTAGAGCCCTGAGGAACCCCACAAGACAATGGTTGTGGGGTTGAATAGTTCAGCAGCACAAGAGTTTAACCCATTGCACCACCAGACCAACTAAATTACTGTGTCCTAATAATGAAAATCTAGAAAGTCATCAACATGAAATGTTTGGAAAGCTCTGGTGTTGAGGCACCAATGGGTACATACAGCCTTTCATTCTGAGGTTGAAGCCCCCTCAAGGGCAAATGGATATGTTTGCATGGCAGCCTTCATGGTGGCACATGCCCCACCTGTGGGAACATCATGAGTTTCACTGAGAGGTTTTTTTTTGGCAAAGAGTACTGAGAGGTAGTTCGCCTGTCCATGAAATATAGTCCACAGCATATAGGTCCATCCTTCAGGTACAGTCGTTCCTCTGAATCCACTGATTTTATATAAGGGACAGCATTGTAGTAGAGCCACGGTGGCGCAATGGGTTAAACCCTTGTGCTGCTAAACTACTGACCTGAAGGTCAGCAGTTCAAATTTGTGAGAATGGGTGATCTCCCATCTGTCAGCTCCAGCTCCTGCCAACCTAGCAGTTTGTAAGTGGATAAATGTAAGTTGATAAATAGGTACTGCTTTGGTGGAAAAAGGCAAAGAAACGCTCCTAGCAATCTTGCAGGCCATGCAACCAGGAAGTGACAATGCAGACTCCTTGGCTTGAAAATGAGGAAAGCACCTCCCCAGAGCCAGAGATGAAAGGAAAACCCTCTGCCTTTGTTTGTGTGTCTCATTGTATATTGTAAAGGCATTGAATGTTTGCCTGTGTAGGTAAATGCTGTAATCCGCTCTGAGTCCCCTAGGGGAGAAGGGCAGAATATAAATAAAGTGTATTATTATTATTATTATTATTATTATTATTATTATTATTATTTGAAACACAACAAGATGAGTCCACAGCAGACACTCTGTTGGCTGTTGTAGTGGATCACGCGTTAGACAATTCCCAAGTGCCTAGGACTGTATGATGTATCGGCGAATAATGCATGCAGATCCCAGTAAGGTGGCCTTCTGCAACTGGCAGATGGTAATTTTGTCAGTGGCAATTGTGTTTAAGTGCAGGCCAAGGTCTTTAGGCACTGCACCCAGGGTGCCGATTACCACTGGGACCACTTTGACTGGCTTGTGCCAGAGTCTTTGCAGTTCAGTTTTTAAATCCTCATATCGTGTCAGCTTTTCCAGTTGTTGTTGTTGTTGTTGTTGGTATTATTATTACTATTATTATTATTGTATCCCATTTCATACAGTGAGACTTGAGCATCCATTGATTTTGTTATCCACAGAGGTATCCTGGAATAAATCTCCTTGGATACGAAGGGCCCACTGTACTAACCTGTTTAGCTTCCAATCACAACAAATATCCAAATAATCCCCCTCTGCAAAACACACATGCACTCAATCTATCTTCCTATAAAGATTGTGTGCTTTAAATTTCTTTTGGTGTCAGCTCTTTAAATGGGCTCTCAAACTGCAGTCCTAGTCTTTAACAATCTCACAAATTCCGTTATGTTTAGTGTCTCCTCCATTATGCCTGGTGTTCCTTTTGTGTATATAAAAGTCATTGCAACTTTCAGCATCATATAGTTAAGACATTGACAGACCCCTCATAATTCACTCATTGTATTGTCCATCCAACTAATATGTATGTATGGATACCTACTATTTTTGTTCTCATTCTGATTATTCATTTCTATATAGATTTCTGTAGCTGCTGTCTAACTATTTTATGATACATACTGCTTTATAGTCCTATACCTGCAGTAAGCTGAGCCTCTGCCAAGAGGCAGATAGCTCTTGGGCCCTTACTGGCATCATGACTAAATGTTAACAGCTGTCAAGTGATATGGAAAGGTTTAAATTAATAACTTTGATACTTGTAAAGTTTGGTTGACAGTTTGAAGCTGGGAAAAGACAGGAATGGCCTGGGAGAATGAATCTTCCCCTGTTACTAACCTACTCGCATAATTTCCATAGTTGGCAGGGGGACTGGGTCACACTTTGACACTTCAGATTTCTGTGTTTGCGTCTGCATTGAATGTCTATTGAAAGAAAGGCAGGATAAAAAATTAAAGCAAATAAATAAATATAACTCTTGGAATTCCATCATCCATTGCCTTTGCCCTTCTTGTGGGGAACTACAGTCCATTACGCAGCCATAGGGAATCAGATCACTTGCTTGGTAGAATTCGTTGTTTCAAGACCCAAATCAGCCATTGACTCTCAGTTGTCAATGTACTCCATCAGCAAAAAGACTAAAAGCTTCTGTGTTGAATATTGTCTGCTTCATCATTAGTTGTTGTGTGCCTTGAAGTCATTTCTGACCTTAAGGGTCTTCTTGACAAAATTTGTTCAGAAGGGATTGCTGTTGCCTCTCTCTGTGGCTGAGACAGCATGACTTGCCCAAGATCACCCAGTGGATTTCCATGGTCGAACAAGAATTCAGACCCTGATCTCCCTAGTCTTTGCTCACTCCCTTGTATTGCATTTTCAGCATTTGTGGTAACTCCAGCCTATAGCTGAAAGTCTTCAGCAGGGAGTAAAGAGAGTTTTTGTGCTTGCTGGTTTATGTTTTTGGGCATCCACTGAGCAATCCGTCCTTTATCTCAAATGAGATAAAAAAACTCTTTGCCAGGAAGTTATAGAAAGTCTTTCTTATTGTCTGTTTTGTGGTATAGCATTACTCAAGAACCCAGCAGCAGTTTCTGTCCCTGCTTCCTGTTTTTGGTGTGGTTGAATCTTCTGTAAACTGGAGCTGGGTTCTTTGAAAAGAATATAGTCTCCCATTTAAACCTGTCTAGATTTTAAGATCTTTTCACAGAGACCATTCTCTTTCATGTCACTATCAGAGATATGGACGCCAAAGAGAGCTTCTAGAATTTCCAGCAAATGGAGCCTAGAATGTTTCCCTCTTTGATGTAAATTCACTCTACAGAGCTGAACAGACTGCTCTCTGGCACCATGAGATGCAGGGCCAACCTTAAGAAATGGAGCCACAAAGCAGAGTCCACAACGTGTGTGTGTGTGTGTGAAGAGCAAACCACAGACCACCTATTACAATGCCGTCTGAGCCTTGCTACATGCACAATGGAGGACCTTTTTATAGCAGCACCAGAGGTACTCCAAGCGGCCAGCT